TTATGGGGGTACATATGTTTAGGTTACATATGTTGCCCTTGCACCCCCTCCCCTGAAATTTTCTGTATCTCCTATTTATCAAAATGTCATTTGTGTAACAACTAAGGAACAAGAAATGTAAACTTGAAATACAGCTTGAAAAGAAATGTAAGAGTCCGAAAGCTATTCTTATGTTTTTATTCATTAATCAAATATTCAGTTAATCCCTACTATGTGACAAAGATTTATTATGAAAGAAGAAATAGGTGCATTCTCTTTTGCTTCGAAAGACTTTCTGATGAAAATCGCAGAAATTCAAACTTTGTGCTCATAAATAAAGTACTTTCTAAAATCTGAACCACAATCAAGTGAATAGCTTTGTGCAATTAAGTTCCCAAGCATGGGAGATGTGTATGATAAAGTATTCCATGTAATAAAAAAAGATTCTGTTGTGGAAGGAAGTGTGTAGTATTTGATCAAAGGTTAGATGACTTCTAAGAAATCTTTTCAGTTCTATGGCTAAATAATAGAACATTGAGTAAACAAGTAAAATTTTAAAATAATAATAATCTCTAGTTCTGATCTTGGATTAGTTATGTGAAAAGTGATGTTTTGGTGAAATTGTACTTGAAATTTATAGTTTTATGGTTTCTATATTTTGCTCTTTAAAGTGAAAACATTTAATCAAAAAAAAGGGAAAAGAATGAACTTTTGAAAGTTTGTGAAAGAATAACTGATTTAAGTCATTATTTAAAGGACACTTTACTGTTAGAAAAAAATAATGTTTAATATTTGTGTGTGTTCCGTAGGAATGATGATGTCTCAGTATAAACTTTCTCAGAATTCCATGCACAGTAGTCCTGCATCTTCCAATTATCAACAAACCACTATCTCACATAGCCCCTCCAGGTAATATATGTATATATCATTTATTAAATATTGTGTTCTGTGGTGAATATGCTTGTGAAATTATAATATATATATATTTAGATAATGGTGAATTGTATGTAGTTAAATAGTTGAAATTCTTAGTCCTAAGTAGTAGTTCACATGAACATTAGCCTTAAAATGTTGTGTATGGAAATACTCTAATATACTGATTAAAGTGTCTATCATATTAGTAACTTAATTTCATACAAACAAGAGAATGTGTTAAAGTAACTGATATGTTTCAGAAAAATAAAATTTATGGATTAGATTTTACTATAGGGAGCATGGGTTTATATACCCTTAAACAGATTGATACTTTTATGTAAATAAAGTAAATTAATTATTTCAGTTTTTACAAGCTGCTTAGTTGTAACTCTTAGATTATGAAATGTGAATAATTTTTGTATGTTATTGACTATTTTGCAAATTTTTTGTTTTCATAGATTTTATGATGTATAAATAAGAGAGAATTTTATGACAGTAAAATTTCAAGGAAGAGCATGTTTGTTTTATTTCCTGATAGTCTTTATTTGGGTTTTGGGTTTTAGCCGGTTTGTGCCACCACAGCCAAGCTCTGGGAACAGATTTATGCCACAACAAAATAGCCCAGTGCCTAGTCCATATGCCCCACAAAGCCCTGCAGGATACATGCCATATTCCCATCCTTCAAGTTACACAACACATCCACAGATGCAACAAGGTAAGAAAGTTTTTTCTTACGTTACTGGGAATGCCTTATTAGCTGTATTTCTAAGCAAATTTATTTTTTAAAAATAATTTTTAAAACACAAACTAAAATACTATGCTGTATACTTATTTGTCAGTAAACTTTTTAAATGATAGGGCTTAAATCATTAAAAACGTGCTACATTTATCATTTGGGAATCGATCAGTTAGGAGGTGAAAGGAGCAGTGGCATTTTTCGCTCTTTAGATTCAGTTATTATAGAACCGAGTATATTTAGTTATGAAATTAAGAACTGCTTTTTTTATTGGACTTTCTTCTTACAGTAGCACTAAACCAAAGAACAGTTAGGTTTTAATTGGTGAAGTGGATATAATTGGCCCTCTATATCCGTGGGTTGCACATTGTGAATTCGATCAAGTGCAGATTGAAGATATTCAGAAAAAAAAATTGGATCTGTACTGAATATGTACAGAGTTTTTTTATTGTCATTATTCCTTAAACAATACAGCATAATTACTATTTATGTACCATTTACACTGTGTTATTATAAGTAATCTAGAGATGATTTAGAGTACTGTAGATAGGAGGATATGCATGGGTTATATACAAATATTACACCATGTTATATCAGGTACTTAAGTATCTGCAGATTTTGGTATTCCTGGAAGGCATACTGAAGGTATATCTCCACAGATACTGAGGGACAACCATACTGTGAAAAATTTACCATAACATGGTTATGGTACAGTAGAGGAAAATTAATAATCTTTAATGCAAAGATTTCTGTATTACATCACTAGTTCTCAGTTGATTGCTAGTTCTTAATATGATGTTGATATTGTGATGTCTTTTAAGATTATATTTGGCTGGGCACAGTGACTCATGCTTGCAAATCCTAGCACTTTGGAAGGCCAGTGTGGAAGGATTGCTTGAGGTCAGGGATTCGAGCCAACCAGAGCAAGAGCGAGACCCTGTCTCTACAAAGAATTGAAAAAATTAGCCAGGCATGGTGGCATGTACCTAGAGTCTGAGCTGAGGAGGATCATTTGAGCCCAGGAGTTTGAGGCTGCAGTGAGCTATGATGGTGTCA